GATGTTCAGCCCAAGAAACGGGCGCTGGAGGACATGAGTGCTCCACTTACCGAATTTGATTCCATAAGACTGTGTACCAGTGCCAACAACTGCACAGGAGATGCTGATGGATTGTTCGGATTGAATGAGGGCTTTCTGGAGTACTTCAATCATACCACTCTTCAGTGGGTTCCTATCTGCGACAGCAGATTCACAGAGCGGAACGCTCAGGTGGTTTGTCGGGAACTGGGCTATGATCCTCTGAATGTCTACTATGGTCATGATCGCAGGATAGAGTTCCACACGAACTCACTGACGCGAATTTGGTCCTGGGTGCAACCACTGGAGTGCCGAGGGGACGAGGAGAGAATGGAGGATTGTGCCGAGCGTTTGAATGGTCAACTTTATGGACATCGCCACGAATGCCGTTGGGATGATGTATTCGTCTTTGTCAGCTGCAATGGCATTGCTGACGATGAAGTTTATTGGGGTGGCATAAGGTTCGCCAACTCCAAGTTCGAGGAAATCCAATATGAACATCGCTTGCACAACACCAGGTCACATGCGAGGTTGCCATTGAGGGAAAGCCAGCTGGAGTTCGTCAAAATCGAGCAGGCAGGCATACTCCACAATCACAAAGCAGCTGCCATTCAAGCCATTCACAAGAACCCATCTATAACCTCGGTGAGCATAGAGAACTCGGCTAATCACGGCATAAACATGATTGCTCCCAGTGGTAAACTGAATTTGAATCATTTGAACATCAACAATACTCTGGGAACCGGAATTAGCATTGTATCGCTGAGTGGCGAGGGCCGTGATAGCGATGAATCTAGTTTCACGCCCTTGAAGAAGTTGGATCTTCCCTATAAGCTCTTCTCCCTGGTGGATATATGCGATCCCCAAAAGGTGCTGACCATCGAAGAGCGCATGCTGATCTACTACAAATATGATAACAATCCCGTGAACTGTGTGAAGATCTTCACCTCCGCCTTTCGAGCTAAGCCAATCGGCTTCAGGTTGCTACAATCCAATTTGTTCAATCACTCCAAGTTGTATGGCCGAACCGATTTTATCAAGCTGTACGACGGTGATATCTACAATGTGACTGCCACCTACTTGGGTAAAATCGAATCTGATACGGATAATCAAAGAGCGTTCTTCAAGACCAAGGGCCCAACGATGAGTCTCCAGTTGGTGGCTAGTGGTGCCCCCGAAACACATGGTTTTATCGCCGAAGTCGTCACTGTGCCCATTTCCACTTTGGGCCAATGTAAGCTACTTAAATTATGCGAATTGTGTATTTGTTTTAATCGTAAGATACTTTACAGATCGCGATGCCCTGCACAATCTCACAGATACTCATATCTCAGGTGCGATCAAAGGGGCGGTTACTTACTCTTCTGCCGGCGAGGTCACGCCCACCTTGACCCTAATTGGCAATCGGATAGAGAAGAATTGCCGTCAATTGTACGGCAATTTCTCCACCTGCACTTCGGCTCTGAATTTGGATGTGCAGAACATGAACTCGTTGTACTTCATGGTAGGTCTATAACAGAGATTTCTTTCCAATTTAAAGGCAACCTGCTTCTGATGCCCATTCGCAGAACAACCTGATAACAGAAAACCAAGGCGGTCTTCGGATTAGAGCTGATTCTCGAGGTTCAGCCACTTCACTTCGAGGCTTCGTGCATCACAATCTCTTCATGAGGAATCGCAATCGTCCAGCTCTGTACGTCGAGGGCAGACAATCCTCGCCGTACCAAGAAGTGGAGCTTTATCGCAACTACTTTGCCCAAAATATGGCCGGCTATGAGGATGTGATAAGATTGTGCCAAGTGGTATCCAACTTCAGCTACAACTATGTGCACAGCAACGTGGGAGGACGAATCATGGAGGTTTCTGGCTTCGAAAAGGTGCGATTGCAGATCTATCAGACGACGGCTCACAATGGTTTCTACAGGCAAGTCCCCAAACTTACTTTAAATTATAAGCTTATTAAAAAATATTTGTTTTTTTAGGAATTTTGCCACTAACTGGATGACCAGGGCCACAATTGTGGCTGGAACAGCGGGCCAGCAATATGTGGATAATATTTTCGAGAACCACGAAAACGACTATGAGCTGCTTACAGTCAACAATTCCATGTAACTATTCTTGCTCCTATCTAAATGATTTTATGAAAATACTCGCCTTTTTATAACTTTATTCCAATTTTTCTGTGCCCATTCTACTATTCTATTAATGGCAATCTAATTTCTAATTTTACTTCTTCCATTTCCTCCATTTTCCTACCTGTAGTTTGAGTTTTGACTATGAAAACAGGTAAGATATAAAAAGACCTTTGCAAAGTGGTTATTAATATTGTACCTTTCTTGACCAGGACCTTCGAAACCTGGAGCTCTAAGATCGATGCTCGTCACAATTATTGGAGCTATAACAACACCATCTCGGTGCAGTCTCGTATCAGAGATAAGTCAGGTGAGTTGGCACTTAATCATTAGATCCAGTACAACTCTATAGCATGTAATTCCCAACAGATGATCCTATGCTACTGGAGGTCTTAGCCGTGCCCTTCCAAATGAACAATGAGACCATACTGGATGGAAAATGTCCTCCAGGCTGGGCGCTGGTCCACGACACCTGCTTCATCTATGTGGGAGCACCGATGACTTTCCACGAAGCCCGAGACTTCTGCCGCTCGGAGAACTCCACAATGCCCTTCATACGCACCGATAAGACTACGCTGTGGAAGTATTTGCAGAGCCAGATGAGGCACTTGAAGTATCCGGATAAGGTTTGGATTCAGGACTACAATCACATAGATCGCTGCACGAGCTTTGTGTTCGGGGAAATCGAGATCGAGGATTGCAACAAGGAGCGCGGCTTTATTTGCGAATCGGATCCCAGGGTAAAAAGTCAAGCAACAATAGAAAATAAACATTGGTTGGTAACTGTCTTTGGTCTTAGGTTATTATTGATCCCTTATCCTGGCGAGCAGACATCTTTGCCATCAGTATTATCTCAGCCTTTGTGCTCGCCATCATATTGCTGATCCTGGTGGCCTTCTGCTGGTTCGCCAAATCCAAACATCGACACACCCAGCGACTCCAAAGAAGGAACAGCATTCGTCAAAGTTTGCGCAGCTTGAACAGCATCGATCCGCAGGGTTCGCTGCGCAGAAGACCCAATTATGTATGATTTTTATTATGTTTTGATTTTATTATCCACTGATTTTTGTTTGATTATTTTCTTGATTTTTACTCAATTTTATGTTGGCTAATCAGAACATGTCCAGCAATGGAACGTTGTCCAAGAGTCAGGACTACAAGCAGATGGTGGCCAATGGCTCCATAGATTCCATGGACAAAAGTGTGTTGAGCTCGGAGGCCGGTAGCTATGAGGGCTACGAACAGAAGCCCCACTACAACGAGTATGTGAACCAGAATGCCCTGAGACCAGCACAGCCTGCCCAGGATCAGCAAGGTCACAAGGTGGCCACCATTTCCAAGGCGAGTGGCCATCGGGCGAGAGCCGCCGCAGCTGCAGCTGCTGCCTTGCAACCCGACGCCTTTGAGCTAAGCTACCGGAATGAGGGCTTCCGGGATAACTCCACCTACGGCGGTGGCACCCGAGCCAATTCCATCAGCACCAGTGTGGCCGAGGATACGCCAATCATACATCACACGGACCAGGAGCTCGATGAGGGCGGTTCCGATTACTACGGAAATGCGAGTACGTTGCCACTGCGAACCGAAGGTGGCACTCCAGCTGGAAGGCGTGGCCAGCCCGGCTTGGCCTTTCTCAGCGAACTCAAGCAGAACCTGCCCGAGTACCAAAGAAGCTCGCATAGCAGTTTCATGCCCCATCGAAGCAGCGGCGACTCCCTGCCCTTTGATCAAAAGCTAGATCAGTTCAACTACTCCACAGAGTCCTCACTGTACCGCCCGGCGCCTGGCGTGCCCAGCAGTGGTCAGCAGGCAACACCAGCGGACATGCGACGTCCGGACTCGTACTACACTGCCGTGCGGAGTAGTAAAGCTCCAGTATCCCATTACCGGACACCAAGGCCACTGGCACAACCACCGGCCGCACCAAATGTGGCGGTGGCGCCTCCGGGTGGTTCGGCGCAACGGCGCCCCAAAACGGTGTACCAAACCGCATCCGAGGAGTCGTCACCAACGACACCGTCGCCACTGACCAATCAGTACCACCGCTCCAAGTCGGAGGCTCTGCTCGAAACAGATTTCGATGGAGATGGAGGAGGATCGGGTGGCCTGCAGCCACTGCAGACAAACGGACGTAGTCACAGTCAGCCCTTGGAAACGGCCATGTGAAGTGGCGTCATCCATTCCATACTCTAATTTAACCCTCACGCCACACATTAACCCTTTACGGAACTGACCAAATACTAGGGCAAATTTGTATTTAATTTATAGAGTAGGAGTTGCTACGTGAAGTAGTATTTGTTTATAGGCTTAGCTTATTGAATGAAACAGAGTACTTTGATTTTTCCCTCGTGTTTTCCTTTTATTTCCCTGCAGTTATTTTGGTCAGTTTCGTTTAGGATAACAGCCACCACAGCTTCGTAGCTTTTAGTTTGCCTTTAAAAACTATAGTTTACTTTTAAAATCGAGATTACGATTGAGAGAGACCAAGAGAGACGAACACGCCCGCCCGTTGTTTTTATTTTTTGTGGTAAACTTAAATCATTCCATCCATTAGCTTTAAGTCTACCATTAACTATTGCCGAAACGAATTAGTTCTAAGTTGTTGTATATACACAGAAAATTAAAAGAAAACTGATTGAAATTAGTTGTTTTCCTTGATGAAAAAGCACTTGCGTCTAAGTTGGCACAAATTTGATGAGCCTAATTATAGGGAGAATGAACAAAAAAATCGTTTCCCGTGCCATTAAAAAAGGTGTTTATTTTCTGATAATAATTTTCTGGGAAGCAATGTCAAGCTATTTGGAGGTCTAATCACAATGAATCATTTTAGTTTATGATAGCTTAATTCAACTAACCCAAAGATTGAGAAACCCGTCTTGGCCTTATCATCATTTGAGCGCGCTTCATCACGTAGGGAACATCTCTAAAGGTAGTCCACAGTATGCCTCTTCCGGATTGGTCTTCACCAAAGAGCCCAAACAAGTGGCTAAATAGAAAGTTTTAAAAATAAATACATATGACTTGAGTGAGCACTTACCTCGTTAGGCAACTGCGGAACCACCAAGCGCCCTTAAATTGTTGTGCACAGCCCGTTGGTCCTGTCCAGTCGTTCTTGCGATCTATGGTGCTGAAACTCATGCCCAGGTGATATTCAAGTGAATCCCCGGCGTCTCCGATGGATTTTCCGGTCGATTCCAGGATGTATTTTTTGTCCTCGGGACCGATGGTGAAGTTATCGTACAGCTGATATCGCTTATCTTGTTTGTAATCCTCCAGCAGAACTAGAAGTTCCTGGGGTTCCGAGGCAGTCATCGCATGCAGCTTGTCCAGGCCGATAAAGAACTCATTGTTCAGATGGCCAAATCCGTTTTTGTAGTCCCTCCACTCCAGAAAGAAGTCCTGACTTCCATCGTATCGAAGCAGGATTACTGTCCATCCTCCTCCGTGGCTTTCCTGATCGCATTTCACCGCAAAGGGGTCTTCACTGTACTCAGGCACGCGGATGACAAGGTCACTCTTTGACGATTCAGCGCAGTTGGCTGGGTAAGAAGTGGGCATACAAGAGTCGAACCTTTTGTCTAAACGTTCCAAAATTTCTGCCTGGCGCTTTTGCTCCGCACTGCGATTTTAGATAAGAACAATTAAAGCTCTTTTAAAGATTGATCAATTACCTTATAGCGGCCACTTCCGATTTCACGGCTGTAAGATTATCACAGATGGATAGTAGAGTACATACTTCCTTGCCATTTTGGCCAACTGCTGCATTCAAAAAGGACACAAATAATATTCCGAGCCACAACATGTCTTCGCTGCAGCTGTTGCTTAACTAAATCAAAAACTTAATTGTTTCTCAATTAAGTTCCATAATCAAAAGTGGTCTTTCTTATCTTAATGGCTGATTCAACAAACGCCTATCAATACCCCCATCTGTAAGAATTGAGCTCAAAGCTGGGGTTTCCCCGATCTCAGTATAATAATCTCAGTTAGCTGCAATTAAATTCGAATTTAACGTTCGCTTAAAAATTTGTTTTCCATCGACCAAATAGTCAAGGTTCGAGTCTGTGCTAAATGTAAAACGCAGAACTGTAGAAAACATTTTACATGACAACAGTTATCTGTCTCCACTGATTAAAGTAATTTATAATTTACTTACATACAAATAAATTTATGAATGGTTCTTGCTGAGCTCCAAGGAACAGCAATACAATTGAAAGTTATTAAATTGCAATCATTTCGGATTCAACGTGACGTGTCTTAATTTGGATTTGGCATTGAGCACCTAATTGCTTTTTCAAAAAGAATGTTCATTGGGTAAGCTCTTTATGCAAGGCACGCGCAAAAAAAAAGAAAACTCTTGTTGCTGGAGAGTGTTGCCAGCTCTGAGCGCTAAATTCTATAAAAATGGAAAAAGCTACAAGCTATTTGTGCTTATGTGTGCATATATAACAGTATTTATATGTCAAATTTTTTATTTCTAATCATTGCAGCTGTTAGCTGTGCGCAAAGCCACATAAATTACTCTAACGGTGTGCAAATGGTTCACAATAAGAAAGACGCACTTATTATGAATCCAATCTGAAGCTTTTAAAAAAACTTAAATCTGAAAACTTTTTTTTATTTTTTTCAATGGTTTTATAAGCTCCGCATAAGTGCTAGAAAAAGGCCGAGTTGGCAACACTGCTGGCACAAAACGCGCGTGCTCGCTCTTCGTTATTTTTTGAGCGCTTGTTTAGTTAGTCAACTCTCCAAAGAACGCGTCGCGTGCTGTTTAATTTCTGTAGTAAGCGCCATTCATCGTTTTTCACTCGCCGCCGCTGGTCCGTTTTTCCGCTGGTTTTCCTGCAATTCCACAAACGAAAAAAACCAAATAAATTCAAATCCCTAATAAAATAAACAATTTTGTGATCAAACAAAAGGAAAATCGACATCTACACAGAGGGAGACGGAGATAAGACAGAGAGAGCGAGCGGATCAAGTAAGTTTTCGACTAACGGTGACTGTGACTGTGGCAATGTGTGTACGTGCGTGTGTGTGAGCTGAGGTGCGAGAAAGAGGGTCCTGCTGAAGTTGCAAGTGCTAAATTTAGAACTCAAGCTGAAGGCTGCACCACGACCACCTCCTCTCCACCCACCGCCCACCTACGTCAGACGCTCTCTCCAGTAAACGAAACAGAAACGTGCGACAGAGAAAGAGAGCGAGTGAGAGAAAGAACACTATCGTTGTGTGTGTGTGGTATGAATGGAACAAAAGTACTTGGTCTTGCGGCAGAGCGAGACAGCGAATGTGTGCATGTGTGTGTGGCACGTAGACTCGTAGTAAAATTTTCCGCGTAAAATTGAAAGCAAATTGAAAAGCTCACGAGGGACTTTGCAAATAGTGGCAAAACTCAAATGGAAGTAATACAAAATATTAACTTATGGAACATGTGTGTGTACAAAGCAAGAACCGCCATTACATTACAAAACAAAAGTAAGAAGATTAATTGTAAAATGTTAATTGTTTTATCAAAATGTTTTTTGCTCGTAAGTAACAGTAGAAACAGCTTATAATTTATTGTGCTTTCCATGTTAACATAATATTAATTAAAACAACAGTTTCTGGATAAAATACATATGTATGTACGTGAGTTTATAAGAAACATTACATTGGGAAAACTGCCTCGAGCAGCCGAAAAACGAGTTCGTGCGTAGTTTTCCATGTCATGTTTTCCCCATGTTTTCCACATTCGGTGGCGAAAAGCAAGCTCCAAACAATTTCCCATATCATCGTTGCAACATTTTTGCCGTACTTCCTCACCGCCCCTGTGTTTTCTTCTCTCCCTTTACTCGCCTCTTCGTTTTGCTGCCACACGTTACTACTCATAGGCATGAATATATAGGCATATAGTCATTGGAATAGGAACCTGCCCGCTCCAGCTGCTTCTTCTTTCGTCCATAAGTACCAAGGTGCGCGACACAATTGTAGGTCGATGGAATGTTATCTCAAAAATCCGGCTGCTAATTGGCCTTTGATTGCATTTCTTACAGTCCTCTGGTCAGCTGATCTCTTACGTGTATATTTTTTGTAGAGATTACAGAGGTTGCGCCTAAGTACAAAACACCATATTAATAGCTAAATACACGTTATTTTAAACACCTGCATATGCACGTGTAGTGCATTGCCATGGCAATGATTTAATGGTGTTCAATCTTAAAGCGCCCTTACACTTTTGTTCGGCTCCTTGTCCTCCGCTGTTGGAGGCACGAGTTGAGCGCGCATGTACAAAAGCAGGCAGCGCTACGTCAGTCCCCCTGCCCCCCGCCATTTTCCATGGGCGCCCACACGGGCATCACATCGCAGCCACATCCAAAGTGTAGTAAGTGCACTTTGTGAGTGCGGCCAGGGTTGCCAGGCAAGCGCGATTGGGTGGGAATGGGCGAGCAATTCAATGAATGGGAAAACAAGCTGCACACAAAAGAAAATCACCCGAAAGAAATTTGCAGGGAATGTTAATTTCGCGCAGTTAATTACCACACGCCGCTTATCCACAATCAATTATAGTGTGCAACTTTTGCAATTAAACAAGTCTTACATTGTTGTGCAATAAGATAGGGGTTTAAATACCTTCATATGTACAAAGTTGTTATTTGTTACAATTCAATTTACTATCGTGCTATCTTTGGCTCCCATTGCATTGAAGAGATCTGGGTCTAGAGAAAAATTCTGCAACTCTAATATTTTATTATTTTCATTTACTTGTATACATTTATTGTAATTGCCAAGTTATATTCTCCTGACTAGTTCTGGTAGTGCAGAATCTCTGAGGTTCCCAAATAACAACTTATTTTATTTAATTTAATTATGCCAAGTCCCAATTAAATTGCGTGTCCCCGCGTGCATGTGGTAACCCTGGAATTGCAAGAGAATCGTGGGTTGCACGCAGTGGAGAATTGGCTTCGGGCAAGGGGAGTGCGGGTGTCTCTCCAGCGCCAGCGCAGAGATTTTGATTTTCAGAGACTTGGAGACACATTGCCACATTGTGGTCGCAATGGCTTTTCAGTTGGAGCGCAACGTTAGCCGGTGACGGGCGGTGGGCTGTAGCGAATATACCCGATATATACCCGATACACACAGTAACACCGTAGTAACCAGCAAAGTCAGCAGGCGTAGGCGGATCCAAAACAGTTGCACAACTGCATTTCCCCAGAAAAAAAAAATCGAATATCGCCGATGTGCAGTACTTAAGCTAATGCCGCCGAGTGTTTGAGAACCAATTTCAATGGGTTAAATGACACCAAGCAGCCCAGCTTAACCCTTTGGTGGTGCGGTGTGCCTGTTGTTTTTTTTTTATTTGCGGATTTCGCGTCGTCTGGTTGCCGTTGCCGTTCCCGTGGCCGTGCCAAAAAAAATCGATAATTCCGTGCTGTATAAGTTACGGCGAAAGGTGCGCGGATATTCCGTTCGGGATTTGAGTTCGGTTCGGGTGATTTGAGGACCACAGCCAAGTGTGCGCGAAAGAGAGTGTGTGGAGCGAGAGATTGCAAATCACAATAAAACACTCGATGCTGCTGCAATTGAAAACTCGGAACGGAGTTGTCGTTTTCCGCACATAAATCGCGTATAATCGTTTGTGATCAGTCAGATTTCGGAATATTTGGAAAACATGCTATAATACTCAGAAAACAACTTCTGAGAACCAAAACCGAAGAGAGAGCAGGAACTCTCTCGCCGCTACCGTTACTCGTTGACTACGCATTTACTACCGAAGAGAGTGCGAGAGAACGTAAACGTGATTGAAATTTTTGCACAAAAGGGATGCGCCGCTTACGCTTTGCACGAAGCAGCGCGTAAAAATAACAAACAAAAATACATGCGGAGGCGTATAAATAGAAACGGCGTGTAAAGCGCAACGGCACAAAAGTCAGTAGTATGTAGTAATAGTAGCGCGAACTGAAGGCGAAGGAGAAGCACAAGCACAAGCAGAAGCAGAAGCAGAAGCAGTGGGAGAAGGAGAGGAATAACGAATTCGACGTCGACTGCGGCGCCGACTGCGACTGCGGCGTCGTAGTAAGTTTTCTGCACTGTGTGGCGTGCGTGCGTGTGTGTGTGTGTGCGCTGCGTGGGTGCATCGTTGTCGTTGTGTGCGTGTGGCATGTGAAGCGAATAACAGCCAAAGCGGAAAACCATGATAAAGTTTGTCAGACAGAAAAATCGCGAAAATACACTGAGGGAATCGAAAAATTTTATGCGTAAAAAGGTGCGATTTCTAAATGAACATATTGTAGTTTTAAGAACGTTCTATAACTTAGTTAAGGTAGTAAAAGTAAACTGAACAATGAATCTTCAAAGCTTGAACTTGTGGTTTTTTGAAAGAATAATGATTGATTCATTTTATATGAATAATAGTTGGTTTATTCTCCCGCAGCGTGAATCGAATGACTCTGGCACCGAATCTGATGGTGAACTCCTCGATGTGGAAAACCAACGTCACTTAGACGTGGATATGGAAACTAGTAAGTGATGAACGACATACACAATCCTAAAGATACATTTGAGAACTATGTATGTACATCGCATAC